GCGCAGTTTGAACATTCAGCAGTTTATGAGTGGTTGAAGTATGGCTGCTGGGATTGGCCAACACTCAGCTGTTGTTACATGTGCATATTAACTGAGGTTTTGATTTTGTCTATTAAGCTAGGTTACAGTTCATCCACAAGGACTCAAATATAGGAGTATGGAGTCCTTTACAGGCCATATTTAGTTTGCTTTAACATTTCTGAAATTGGTTTCATGTGTTAAGTAAATTATCACTCTTTCTATGATAACTTTTTAAAAATATAAAAACATATTCAAATAAATAGAATGATATATAGCAGGTTAGATTCTGGAAAATAATTCTTGTAAAATCATTGAGACTGTATGGTTCTTGGAAAGTGTGCACTCCAGTTTGAAAGCTTATGTTTTAAAGCAAGGATCAGGAATTTGGGTTAGCTGTAAATCACTTTCAAGAGTTTGGACCTCCTTTTGAACCTAGTAGAGTGTCACTGACGATCTTTGGAATAAGGAGAGTGACATGATTACTGCTGTGCTTTAGGGAATAAACAGAGAATGGGTGGAATCATCCATTCATTCAACAAGTGCTGTACTCTGGGTAGTGTGGACCAAAAGGTGTAGAAAACAAGGTCTCTACCATCCTAGAGCTTACGTTCTAATGAGAAAAGATAAACAATTATAGGACAGAGGAAGCAATCAGATATACATTTGTCTCAGGTGAACAGAGGGATGACTTTGAGTCAGCTAGTGATGGATGCTATTGAAAACATAAAGCAGGCGCTATTCTTGACAGAATGAATACATACCCCCTGTCGCATGGAGTTTACATCCTAACGGGGAAAGACTAGAAGTAAATGAAACAGTAGGATAATGTCAGGAAATGATAATAGCAGTACTATAAAAAGTTAAGGAGTGTGTATATCAAGGGTAAGAAGTTCATTTTTAAGATAGGGAGGTTTGGGAAACTAGGAGATGACATGTTGGGAGATCAGAGCCTTGACCTGAATAAAGTGATGAAATACACCATGGGAACATCTGTCTTGGTCATACTTGTCCAACTCGTGGCCTGTGGGCTGCATGCAACCCAGGACAGTCTTGAATGTGGCCCAACACAAATTCATAAACTGTTTGAAAACATGAGTTTTTTTGCAATTTTTTTTAAAGTTCATCAGCTATCATTAGTGTTAATAAGTGTATTTTGTCTGGCCCACAACAATTCTTCTTCCATTGTGCCCCAGGGAAGCCAAAAGATTGGACACTACTGATCTAGGTGAAAAGGGTTCCAACAAAGGGAACAGCAGTACAAAGTGTAGAGAAAGAGTGTGCATGGCATATTTGGGAAAGCAAGACAGCTAGCCTTGCTGGAGCAGTATGAGAAAGCAGAAGAAAAATAGGAAATGATGTTGGGAAAAGTAGCCTGGTAGAAGGTGATGTAAAGTCCTGAGGGCATGGAAGATTTTGCATTTGCTGGTGAGGAAAGAGATGATACTTTACACTGATTTATGTATTAAAAGGATCACACCAGACACTTTACCAAGAAAAGAATGCAAGAGGGCTGGGTGCAGTGGCTCACACCTGTAATCCCAGCACTTTGGGAGGCTGAGGTGGGTGGATCACCTGAGGTCAGGAGTTCGAGACCAGCCTGGCCAACATTGTGACACCCCATCTCTAGTAAAAATCCAAAAATTAGCTGGGTGTGGTGGCGGGTGCCTATAGTCCCAGCTACTTGGAAGGCTGAGGCAGGAGAATAGCTTGAACCCGGGAGGTGGAGGTTGTCGTAAGCCAAGATTGTGCCATTGCACTCCAGCCTGGGTGACAGAGCAAGACTCCGTCTCACAAAAAAAAAAAAAAAAAAAAAAAAAAAAGGAATGCATGAAGGCAGGATTAAGGAGTCTTGGATTATGCCTGTATGGGAGGATGGTGAGATTGTAAGTGAGGACTAAGCTCTGATTTTCTATCTTGCCCAAATTTCTTCTAAGGGATCTGGGGAGTCATGCCCTACAAACCATAAATTCTCATCAGATGGATTTTATTTGACCCTATATATCGTGACTGACTTTTCAGTCTGACTATGGCATAATAGTATGAGACAAGGAAAAAGAAAGTATTTCCTTGCCATACCTTGAAATTGCCCTGCAAAGTCTCTTGTGGGAAAAATCCACATTCTACACAGAATCCCCTTCTCCATCTGTTTTTCTTCCTTTCTTTGCAGATCCAGTAAGATAATCAGCTAAGAGCCAGGCACCCTTTCAGGTCTGATAAGAAACATGTTACAACCTGCTCTCTCTCTCTGAAGTCTGCTGAGATTCCTCTGCATAATAAACCTTGGTCTCCACAATTCTTTACCTTAACCTAAACGTTCCTTTCCATTGGTCCCGGGTTTTCAGATAAACTCAACCAACTGTCAGTCAGAAAATGTTTAATTTTATCTATAGCCTGCAAGCCACACTCCACCGTGCTTTAAGTTGTCCTGCCTTTCTGAACCAAACCAATGCATTTCTTAAATGTATTTGATTGATGTCTCATGCCTCTCTAAAATACATAAAACCAAGCTGTACCCTGACCACCTTGGGCACATGTTCTCAGGCCCTCCTGAGGCTGTATCACTGGTCATGGTCACTCATATTTTGCTCAGAATAAATCTCTTCAAATATTTTACAGAGTTTGACTCTTGTCATCAACATAAGTCAGGGAAGGAGGGTCAACTAACAATGACATCTCATGTGTTTCTAATGAATGCTAGAGTTACAAAATGGGAAATAGAAAACAAATTCCCAGGACCTTGGAGAGGGAGCGTAACTTGGAAACTGAATATAAAGGCAGCATGTTTGGGGAGAACGGGAAAATGGAAGACAGCTCCGAAGCTCTGAAAATTGGTAATTAGAAGGATGGAAGTACCATTGTTTACAATAAAGAAATTGCGACAAGTTGGGGAGAGAAAGGAGAGAAAGATGATGAGTTGTGATTATGTTGAGTATATCTAGATGTCAATATTTTACTCACAAAGATCATAAATTTACTTGTCTCCAAACAGACAGAAGTTGAGGCCAGTTTTATGTCGCAAGGAAAAAGTGAGGAGCCATTCTTTTAGGAGTATTAAAGCAAAAATACACAAGAGGTAATTAGCTTGGGGTGGTTGTGTACCTGGAGCTCTTACGTAAGCGCATAGGAACTTATCTTGGAAACGGTTCTTGTAGCTGACTTATTAAAAAACTCACGAGCCTCAGGGAATCACAAACAGCCAACAGGATGACTGCTTATACAACTAGGGACCTCCCATCAGACCACAGTCATATAGGTAAATGCCTTATTACACCGTGACCAAGTAAGGGAAACGTAGCTGTAGCCAATCAGGTAATTTCCTTCCTTTGTTTCTATGTTTAGTCTATTGAAGCTTACTCTCAGGCCACTGGAGCTGAGCTTTCTGAACGCTTCTGGTTCAGAGTGCTGCAGATTTATGAATTGTTCTTTGCTGAAATAAGGTGTAAAGTTTATTTTGTCTAAAGGTTTTCTTTTAACAGGAGTGATAATTTGGGCAAAATGTTCACATAATAGTGAGAAATGAAAAGCCTGCGATATAGAAAAGTAAGATGTATTTGTAAACTTCTTTAACAAAGGCATCCTAGCATAAGCATGGCTGTAGAGCCAGACTGTCAATGTTCCAATTCTTTCTGGGCCTTAATTTCTTTATCTGAAAATAGTTACAGTGAGCCTAGGTGATAGGGTTGTTGTGGAGCAAGCGTTCTTAATCTGGAGTCCACACAATTTCAGCATCTGTGAACTTTGTATTGAAAAAATTGTAACTGTGTGTCTATTAACCTCAACAGTTTCTGTTTTTCAATTATAAAGGCAGGCAACAAACCACAGTAGTATTAACAGTACCTACAGCTTTGTTTCCTATAGAAATTAAAGATATTGTCATACTCAGTAAGTTGTTGCAGATATCTCGAACCATTATATGTATATATTCCTTAAGTTTTATATATATATAATATTTTTATATTCTACATATATTTTTGGAGACAGTGTTTTGCTCTCTCCCGGGCTGGAGTGTGGTGGCATGATCAGAACTCACTGTAACCTCAAACTCCTGGTCTCCAGTGATCCTTCCAGCCTCAGTCTTGGAATAGCTAGGACTACAGGTACTCCCCACCATATCCAGCTGTTAATTTTTTTTCTTTTTTTCCCTAAAGACAAGGTCTATGTTGCCCAGGCTGCTCTCCAACTGTTGAACACAAGCAAGTCTCCTGCATAGATCTCCCAAAGCATTGGGTTTACAGGTGTAAGCCACTGTGCCTGGCTAATCCTATATATTTAATTTCATGCATTTAGAAATATGTGCTATTTTAAGACTGCATGTACAGGTTTCATTACATTACCAAAGGTGTTCATGGCACAAGTGAAGAAATCTTTAGGAGAGTAATAAAAACCATGATGCATTACAACAGATCAGGCCCGGTATCAAACGTTCAACATACAGTCTGCTGCTATGGTTCTTTTTTTTTTTTTTTTTTTTTTTTTTTTTAGACGGAGTCTCACTCTGTCTCCCAGGCTGGAGTGCAGTGGCGTGATCTCGGCTCACTGCAACCTCTGCCTCCCGGGTTTATGCCATTCTCCTGCCTCAGCCTCCCAAGTAGCTGGAACTACAGGCGCTCCACCATGCCTGACTATTTTTGTATTTTTAGTAGAAATGGGGTTTCTCCAGGCTGGTCTCGACTTCCTGACCTCAGGTGATCCACCTGCCTCAGCCTCCCAAAGTGCTGGGATTACAGGCGTGAACCACCATGCCCAGTCTGCTATGGTTCTTAAAATATTCTGAGAATAAAAACTGAAGTAAGGCTATTCGTTTTTATATTAAAAAGTACCTAGTACAGTGCTCTGTACTTATGCACTCCCTGGATGCTGAATGAGTCACTAAATGAATGGAGTCTAGGCTGTGCCTCAGGCCTTCCAGTTGGGGCTGGAAGAGCTGTGAAGTTCTGAGACGGCTTCTGTGCATTGGGGGCTCTGGAGTATGTTAGATGGTTTCCCAGGGCTCTGGAGGAGAACAGCTGTGTTCCTAATCACGATCGCAATGGGAATGGAGATTGCAGGGGACCGCAGGGGCCAGGTTCTCATTCCCCAAAGCTTCCCCTTCATCATCCAAGAAGGCACTCAGGTCTGTCTGTGCAAGGCCCCAGGTAAAGTGCTGGGCTACCCAGTAATTGGGTTCAGTAGCAGGATGGCCTCAGATTGAGGTCCGAAGGCCAAAGGGCAGCCCCTCTCCCCAGTGTGGGTCCAGGAAAGACAGGCTCCAGGCGGGAGCACACGCCGCGCCCCTGGAGCCTTGCTCCCTCGCCACGCCCACTTCCTGCCCCCATCCTGCGCCTTTCCAGGTCTTCTCCCGGTGAACCGGATGCTCTGTCAGTCTCCTCCTCTGCGTCCTCGGCCGCGGCCCGTGTCCCTAGCAAAGCCGCTGCCACCCCGGAGGGCCCAGCCAGTGGGCTCCCGGAGGCTGGCCGGGCAGGCGTGGTGCGCGGTAGGAGCTGGGCGCGCACGGCTACCGCGCGTGGAGGAGACACTGCCCTGCCGCGATGGGGGCCCGGGGCGCTCCTTCACGCCGTAGGCAAGCGGGGCGGCGGCTGCGGTACCTGCCCACCGGGAGCTTTCCCTTCCTTCTGCTGCTGCTGCTGCTCTGCATCCAGCTCGGGGGAGGACAGAAGAAAAAGGAGGTAGAATGGATCCCCTTGGCCTTCCCCTGTGGGCGGGGGCGGGCCGGGGTGGGCCGCGTTGCCAGGCAGCCCTGCCGTGTTGCTAGGCAGCCTGGCCGCCGGCGTGGGCGGTGCCGGCGCTGGGGCGGGAGCCCCGTGGGTGGGAGGCCCTGGGGCCTTTCCGGGACGTGGAGTTAGCAGGGTTCTGACTTGAAAAACCACGGCAAAGCATGCACTTGACTCTGCTTCTGAGCATCTCACACCTTTCAGACCCTGGACGCTTTTATTCCCAGCTGGAAACCCAGCTTGGAGCAATTGTGTCACTAAAAGGGGTGTGTTGGATGTGAAAATACCCTTTAGAAGTATTTGTAAGCCTGCAGGGACTATTTGTTCCTTATTTTCTTACTGTTCTCTTCATTACCCATTTCAAGAAGCAACAGAACCTGTCGAGAGTGTGTTTTAAGTTACTCTGTGTGTTTGTTTTTGTTTATGTTGAACTCCGTGTATACTTGTGAGAATAAGCTTACATTATTTATTTTATGCAAGTACAACAGAACATATTGAGAGTGTGTTTTAAGTTGTCCTGTGTGTTTAGTTTTATGTTGAACTCAGTGTATACTTGTGAAAATAACCTGACATTTATTTTATGCGGATTTATTTCTGAAGTTCATTCAATCTGATTTCAGTCTTAATCCACCATGAACCTTGAAGAAGGTGAGGTTTGAAGTGATTGTTTGTATTTAAAGTAGTTGTAGTGTTTTTAAGTTCCAATTATCCATAATGGATAGTTGATCTAGCTGCTTCAGCAAAAATAGTTATTTCGGGAATGTGGGTAAGGTTTCTAATTGTGGACCATTTTGGTAAGCGCGCTCTGCTTATGCAATTGAAGAGAGTTTTTTCTGGTTAAGTTGTACACCTACACAGGGCTCAAAATCTAAATTGGGTTTAAGATATTAACAAACTTTTAATAGCTGGGTAGAGACAGTGAAAAAATATCCTCATTTGCCGAGTAATTCTGTTTCCCTTTCTCTTTATTCTTTGTCTGAAACAAATACTGTGCGTTCAATATTAACTAACGTACCTCTTTAGCTTTTCAATTTTAACATGAAAGTAGGCCGTATGAAATTATCGGTGAAGTTCTGCTAAGGGATTTAGATAACCACTGTTCAATTGAAATTGTATTTACAAATATAAATTAATGATATATTTTTTAGCACTTGGTGTTTGTATACCATATTCCGAGAGTTTTAGATTTAGTAGTTCACGAGAAAGGTAGAAAAGTGAAGAAAAAGTAGACAGCTTTTTCTGGATTACCAAAGCAAAGGGCAATAAAAGATGATGAAGAATTCCATGGAAATTGTGATGTTTTCTCTCCTAGGAAGATCCCTAGGACCACGCCAGTTTTCTTTTGAAGGGTGTGAACCCCAAAGTGTTTAAGACAGCCCTCAATTTTTTTTTTTTTTTGGTCAGGGTTAAGGATGCACTGGTGACACAGCCTCTGGCGGTCCTGATGGCATGTTCCCAAGGTGGTCAGGGTATAGCTGGCTTTTATACATTTTAGAGAGACATAATACACTGATCAATACGTGTAAGATCTACATTGGTTCGATCTGGAAGGGTGGGACAACTCAAAGCGGGAGGGGCTTCCAGGTCATTGGTAGATTTACAAATTTTCTGATTGGCTGTTGGTTGAAAGAATTGTTACTAATAGAAAGGAATGTGGAGACCAAGGTTTTATTAGCCACATGAAGCCTCCAGGTGGCAGACTTCAGAGAGAGTAGATTGTAAATGTTTCTTACCAGACCTAAGGTCTGTGTTGATGTTAATGCTGGTTGGCTTTTCCCGAATTCCAAAAAGAAGGAGGGTATAATGAGCATGTCTAGCCCACTTTTCCCATGGTAGCCCGAGGTGGTTTTTCAGGTAATCTTGGGAATATGCCCTTGGTGGAGAAGAGGGGCCCTTTCACATGGTTGGGGCAGAGGTCGGAGGGTGCTTACATTTTTGTTTTTGATTTGCAAGGGGGGGAAAAAATCTAAAAAGTGTACATGCTTACAGCGTGTGAGTTATCTCCAATGATAAGATGACTTTAATATGTGAAAACGTTTGTTGATTTAGTATAATTAAATCTAAATTACAGTGACATCTGTTTCTATTAAAATACTTTCATGAAATGTATTTTTAAAATGAAAAACCAGGGAGAACATTGTTGAAGATTAAAAAAGTTTTTCTTGCAAAATTAGTTTTATTCCTCCTAAGCAGGAGCGCTTGATTTCAATTTATGATGGTATTACAGTGTATATGTATTTTACTGAAGGAAAGGAAGAACAAAGTAAGAGCTTAAATAGTTGATGTTTTCAAGACTCTACTTTCAGCGATCGTTTCTATAGTTTGTTAAATGGTTGGTGTTCTGATACTTTACTCAATAAGCATGCGTATCTCTGAAATATAGGCCATTCTGTATCTGGTACTAAGTTCACAAACTGTGATCTCTTCCAGTATTGGAAGGGAAACACTCTTATATTGGAAACATTAAGTGGTTGGTCACCAATGTGGTGTTTTCCTAGTGATAGCCTAGGGTTGTTTTGACAGTATGTGGTCTCTTTCTATTTTGCTGACTTTAAAACCTGATGCCTATGATAAGATTTGACACTATGAAACCTGACAGTGTAGCAGTTGAAGCTTAATTTACTATTAATATAATAAATATTATTGACATATGTACCAAAGTAGCTAATTTAGCATGAAGAGTGTTTTTCTTCCTTGTAGAGAGGAAGCCAAATTTAAGTCTTAAAGTTGAGCCTGGAATCAGGAATGTACATTAGTTGATTTAAAGGAAATAATATTTAATGGTTATGACAGTGATACCACCATGGATGGATTTTTAAGTCATACAGATAGATGGTCCAGTTACAAGTCAGCCTCTAATTTTATGACAGGCAAATGACGAACTCTCTGAATTTTAGTTTGCTTGTTTTAAAATATAAATACTCATATCTCAGGTATTATGTATACATGTATATAACATGTAAAATATATAACTATATGCATATAAAGACTGTATATAAAATGCTTAGTGCAATGCCTAGGATGTAACAAATGGTCACTAAGTGGTAGCTATTACTATATATTCCTCATTTAAATGAAAGCGTTAGTATAATGAGATTCTGAAATGTGGTAAGGGTTTTTAAAATTTTTTTTTTGCTAAAGAAACTAACTTTATAATAATAAATTATATGCTCTCTGGAATAGTCTGTTGCTTAATATGAAGCACTGAGAATTCCAAATTCTCTTATGTTGTTTGAAAATTTCCCAGGAAGAGATTTTGTATCATAGAAGACTTGGTGATATCCCATGGATTTCTGTGTGTGTGTGTGTATATATGTATTATGTGTATGTTTATACACATCCATGTATGCTTCTTCATGAAGACATTTTCATTCATTAAAAACAATGTTTTGTTATATTCCCTATTTGAGAATGTGGTTGAGAGAGTTAAGTGAATAGGCAAAGAAGATTGGAGACTTTTATAGTCACTTTTCTTAATTACATTGAATATAGTCATTAAAAACTAATTTCTGAATCCTCACTGATGTTAAGTGATGTGAGTTTCTGGGAGACTTTGGCTTTTTAGTAGTGTATCATTTGCCTATCTAGTGCATCTTGTGTTTCTTTTATTTTGACAGTTTCTCTCTTTCTTACATCATTAACACTTACCAGTTAATCAGCTTCACTTAGAATTGTTTTAATTTATAATGACCTCTTCTGATAATGTGAAAAGAGCTCCAATTCTGTAATTATTTCTAGTACACTTATTGACTTTGCCATCATCAAAAGCAGCTGTTATAATAATTTATCTTATCTGCAAAGAATATGAGTAGCTGATAGGCCCTGATGAATAGTGAATATGCAGTATGAAAAATTGAACAGCTTATAAATATTTTCTAAGCGATAAATGGACTAAATAAAACATATTTCAATTGCCTTTGACATAACTTCTATATGTAATTAATGTTTTTAAGTGCATTTTATATTGAGATGTGTAATATCCAGTTAGTTTTCATGGCACATTTGTGAAAGGGAGACTTTCCTATCTTAGCGAATGATAAAAGGGGAGAGGAGGGAGGTAAGCAATGGATGTTACCTTTAAGCAGAGAACTTAAGTGGAAGAAAAAGTTGGCAGTCATCACACAGGAAATCATGGTAGTTATGCATTGATATGTATGCATATATGCACAGAATATATCGGTGCAGGCAGTTATTTCACTTAGGTTAGATTATATGTATGACTACCCCTTGAAGCATGATTGGAAATAGCCAAAGCTGCTTGTCAGGAATGCCACAGTGTCATGGATGACGGCAGAAGACATGGGATTCTTGTGTCACAGATGAAGGAGAGTTTATTATAGCAATAGAATAGTCTTTATGTACGTATAGTTGTATATTTTATATGTTATATGCGTATTATATGTTACACCCACGTATACATAATATGCAAGATATAGGTTTTATATTTTAAAACAAGCAAACTAAGATTCAGAGTTTGTCATATACCTGATGTCATACAATTAGAGGCTGAGTTGTAACTGGACCATCTATCTGTCTGACTTAAAAATCCTTGGTGCTAAGTATTGCTGTCATAACTATTAAATATTATTTCCTTTAAAGCAACTAATGTCCACAGCAATAGATAGTTTATTACTCAGCATTTGTACTGGTTCTTTGAGCTTCAGTTCACATTGAACAACATGAAGGGGGCTAGGTGATGCCCACTCATGTAGTGAATTACACTGCGGGAGAGGAACCTTCCATTTAAGAAACCGAGGTCTGTGAAAATGGGCTGTACGCTTATTTGACCTCTTCCCTGAAGGGAGATGTTATCTTTATTTTACTCAAAAGTAAACACTCATTTTTCTGGAGGAGGACTCTGTCTTCTTTGACTGTGTGCTATATGCAAATATCCTTGAAAAGATGGTCTAGAACAAGTCAATCAGTCCCTACACTAACAAGTTGTGTTAGAAACC